TTGTTTACATACTTAAATGTCTGATGTAATCGTTAACGATTTTTAATTTAAAAAAAAAAATTTAAAATAATTTTATAAAATAATAATTGATGGTAACAAAAAAAAAAAAAATTTTCCAATAAATATCTAAAAAAAAAAAAGGATAATTAACATTCAAAAGTGGTTTAAGAAAAAAAAAAGGGATAATCTATATAAAAATCGTTTGAATATTTTTTTTTCTTTTCCTTTTTTTTTATTATATAATAAATTTAATTTGAAAAAGGAAAAAAAACGTTTTTTATTTTACATTTAAATAAAAAAAAAAAAAATTCGAATAATCGATGACGATAACCTTAAATTTTATATAAATAAATTTAAAAACTTTTTTTTAACTAAAAAAGGGAAAAATTTCACACAAAAAATTTTTATTTTAAATACGTTTTTTCTTAATTCTTTCTTTCTCTCTTTTATTTTTAATAATAATAATAATTTTATTACACGAATAAACAAAGTGTGATTAATAATATTATTAATAATAAAAACATTTTTACTTTTATATATATATATATAGATAAATAACGACGAAAATAAATTTTATATTAAATGGCGTCGTTATATTATTGATTATTTAAAATTAAAAACAACAAAACCGTTTTTAAATTTAAATAAACAAATAGAAATTTGAACGCACACGCACACTCACTCTCACACGCAACACATTCACACGCACTTATTAATGATATTTAAATGATTTAAATGGTTAAATTAAATTTTTGAAATCCAAATCGATAAATCTTTCAAAGTTAAACAATTAAATTTAAATTTTTGTAAATTGTGAAATTACCAAAACTAAAAATTTCTTTGAAAATTTTCTACTTTACCATTCAAAAATTTATTTTTGTTTGCGTGTGTGTGTGTGCGTAGGTGTGGGTGTGCGTGCGTGCGAGTGCACGTGTGCGCGTATTAAGAAAAGTGAACAAAAGAATCGCGACAAAGAAAGATTTAAGAGAAATTTTATTTAAATAAAATTTTATTTATTATTCATATGTATATTTAATTATTATTATTATCATCATCATCATCATCATCATTAAAATAATCGTCGAATTATTTTTCCAAGAGTTTATTTATTTATAAATAATTTTTTATAATAAAAAAACACGTGACTCTTTTTTTTATTTACTTAAAAATTATTTTGTTCATTAAAAAAGGAAAGAAAAAAAAGAAACAATTTTTTTTTTTTGTTCAAAGGAGGAAAAAAAAGGAAAAAAGTTAAGAAAAATTTAAATAATAATGATGATAATAATGATAATGATGATAATGATAATAATAAGAAAAAAAAATCTTTTGTAGTTTCTTTTTGTTGCTTTTATGAAATCAGTGAAGCGGTTTTTCCTTCTTCTTTTTCTTTTTCTTTTTTTTTTTTTAGTAAAAAAATTTTCTGTCGTTCATCTTTTTTTTTTTTCCATGTAAATAAATAATCGGATTTAATAGACTTTAAATTTTCTAATTTTATTATTATTATTATTATTATTATTATTATTATTATTTTGCAAATGGATAAAAAGTTTTAAAAAAAAAAAAAAATGATGAAGAGCTTAAATAAAAAATGTCGCAGGAAACTTACATTTTCATATCTCTCAACCTTTAACTAAAGCAAATTATATTTTTTTTTAATATCAAAAGGATTTAACGAAAGCAAAGAGTTTTTTATGTATTCGAATCAAAGGAGGAAGAGATAAATAAAAGTTAATAAATTTAAATAATAATAATTAAACGTGACGTCATATTTATACGCGTACGTATTTTTCTGACGTCTTTTTTGTACAATTATAATTAAAATTTTAATTAATAAATTTTGTTTTATACAAAGGAAAATAAAAAGTTATTGTTATTAATTTTTTTAGTGTTGATAACAATTTATTGATAATATCGTAAAAATTTTAGTTTTTGGAAATAAGAAGAAGAAGAAGAAGAAAATGGCGCTTAAAGTTTTCTGTTGTTTGTTTCGGATAAAAATCATTTTTCATTTCTTTTGTATATTTTTTCCTTTGACGAATCATTTTTCTTTTTTTTTTTTTCCTTTTTTGTTTTCCCACACATTACGTCTCGAAATTGAAACAAAAAAAAACTTTTGGCTCGACATTACTTCTTTTCCTTTTTTTTTTTTTTCCTTTGAATCGGAAAATTTTTTTATTTAAAAAAAAAATAATTAAAAGGAAATAAATTACGCGCCATTTTTTTTTTTTTAAATTATTAATTTAATAAAACCTTTCGATTGATTTTTTTAAGAAACCGGAGGAGGGGAAGGGGGAGGGGAAAACACACAAAAAAAATCAAATCGAACAATCGGAAAAGTTTTTTTTTTTTCGGGGGGAGGGAAGGGGTAGAAAGAGGGCGTTAAAAAAGAAAAAAAAATCCCAAAATAAAAAAAAAAAACTTTTGTAAATTTTATTAAAAAGTTGTAAAGTTTTCTTCACCTGATTTCCCAAAGGTTTAAATTTTTTTTTAAAAAAAAAAAAGTGACGAAATTTACTTTTTGGATAAGTTAAAATTTATTTATTTGTATGTGGATCGTGGTGGGAGGGGGAGGGGAGGAGGGCGTGAGGAGGTAGAAGGAGAAAACAAGAAAGAAAAAAAAAGGATACAACTGTCAAAAAAAAAATTCTTTTTTTTTTTTTTTCTCTCCAAAGTCCGATTGACCTAAAACATTAAAAGGAAGAAAAAAAAAAGGAAAAAAAAAGGAAAAAGTTTTGTTCTTTTTTTTTTTTATTTTTATTTTGTGACATTTACGAAAATAACCGTAAATAAATTTATTATTATTATTATTATTATTTATGGAAACGTAAAAAAAAATTAAATTATTATTTACGCGATAAATTATCCTTCGTTATTGATTTATTTTCTCGTTTTAGGATAAACCACGTGGTAAAATAAATATTAATAATTATTTGTCGTCTGCTTTTTTTTTTTTATTATTACAAATCGACGAAACCTTTTTAATAAAATAGTAATTTTATATGACGTTTCAGTTGCACAACGCGCACTCACGCACACAAATTTTCTAATTAAAAAAAAGAAAAAAAAATTTTTTTTTTTTATTCTTTCATCTCCATTTTTTTTGTTTACTTAGAAATACCTGAAATTGTGCTATTAAAAAAAAAAAAAATGACTACAAATGGATGAAATGTAGATGGTGGGCGGGAAGGAGGGAGGAGGGAGGGGAGTAAGGAGGGGAGGAGAGTAAAATTTTTCTTTGATAATGAATGAAATACGTGTGACGTAATGAATGAACAATTCAAACATCAAATAAAATTTTTAATTAGAATTTTTTTCCCTTTTCTTTTTCTTTTTTATTTATTTGAAGAGTTAAAAAAGGTGCTACTAGAAAAGGTTGGGAAAAATTTTAAATTACAAAAAAAAAAAAGGATTCCTGTGATTGATGACGTCACACAAAGAAAAAAAATTTTTTTTTTTTTTTTAATTAATCGACGGTTGAATGATATTTTTCATTCACCCCCCTCCCCCCGCCACCAAAAAAATTTTTTTTTCCGATTGTTTCCTTCCACCGATCTCTTCACACCTTTACATAAATCACAGCAAAATTTTTTTTTCTTTCCGGTAGCAAACCCCCCCCCACCAAAAAAAAAGCATTTTAAACGTTAAAAACATTTAAGGAAAATTTACTCCTCTAATAAATCCGCCATATTTTAAAATCTCTAAAATATTTTAATTATTAATTTATATTTATATTATCGCGTAAGTGTTCGTATAATACTCTTGTTCTCTCGCGTTAATTAAATTAATATAAAATGATAATAATAATAATAATAATAATTTATTTATTTATGTACTCGTATATATATATATAAAATAAATAATAAAACAAAAAAAAAAGAGATAAAAAAAAATTTTGTTTAAAAAAAAAAAGGAAAAACTTTTTGCACAAAAAAAAAAACAACATAACCAAAATCATTTTCCCAAAGGAAAAAAGGAAAAGGAATAAAAAAGGTTTTTCTTTTTTTTTTTTGTAAGTTTCGTCGTACGAGTTTTAAAGAAAACAAAAAAAAAAAAATTTTTTTTATTTCTTTTTTTTACTCTTTTGCGTGTTTTGACTTTTTCTATATATGTGAGGGAAAAAGAAAAAAAAAACGTTAAGAAATTTTTTTTTTTTTTTTTTTTTTTTGTTATTTATTGAGATTCTAAATTTGCACGAAAAACCAACGACAGAAAAACATTTTTTTTCC